ATTTATCACTTTTATGTAATTTTATGATTTTTCCCCTCTGCTTTTTGTCTGTTTACCTATTTTTCAACTATAACCATTTCAACTAGGTGCTAATTTGAAATTGTGGCTGCTACCTTTAACTTATTTCAAGCTAATTTTAGCTATTTTATGCTATTTTAACTACAGATCTGCTATTCTTCTACTTTTTCTACTTTTTATGGCTTTTTTCTGCTTCTTAGTGCAAATGTTTTCTGTTTTCAACTAGATTTGTGTTCCTATTTACAGTTTTTCTGCAAAGTTACGCTTTTTTGCTTCTTTCAGTTTTTCAAAGTGAGCTCACATTAAAACTTTTCCTATTACATATTTCCAGCTCAATTTCAGCAGCTTTCAGTTTACATTGTCAGCATGAAGCATTCACACTAGCATTTTCGCAGGAAATGCAATTTCTCTAGTTACACTTCTTTCCTTGGCTAACTTGTTTTATTCAAAGTACACATTTCTATGCAAAAATCTTGAGCTACTATTTTAATGAATTGTTTTATATTTTGCTTTTTAAAAAATGTCTCGGTCAGTAGTTCCCCAGGCTTTCCAAAGGCTTTTTCACAGATCTTTAYGGCTAGCTTCATTTCAAAATTGTACTGCGGCAGATTAAACCATGAACATGGAGGCGGCTGCCGAGGTGGGCACAAAGTGTGCTGAGGTGAGCATGATGTGGGTGGGAGTGGGCGAGGAAACAATTTGTACGGCCAAAAATACAGTTTTGCAAGCCGTGCGCGAAAAAAAAGTAAAAGTGATTTTAAAAAGTAATGGCTGCAAAACTCTGCCACGTCTCGTTGGATGCAAAAACAAAAAAAGACTGCTTTTAAGACGCATTTCTCAGGTTCTGTGTTTGATCTTTGCTTTTTTTTGCACTTAAATAATTCACTTGCTTTTCAATTAGGTGTTTTCTTTTTTTTTGTCCTCCATTTGTTAAGTTTATTCCCATTTCTATGGCCTCTCTTATTGATCCAACTAAAGAAAAGGCAACAAACTTTGTCTTAAAGTGCTTTAAAATCCTTCCTTTTCASATTTYAAYCATTCAGTTGGGGTCTATATAAAGTGGAACTGCAATGCTTTGTTAAAATTCCTCCTTATCCTCTTTCATAAGACAGCTCTGGGACTGATGCGTGTTCTGYCCCCCTCAGATCGTTCAGGAGACATACAGATGTGGCGAAGGGGCGTCGAATAGAGYTTGCCTCTGACGTCCCTCTGAGCCGCCAACGGAGCTGGGCAGGATGACTTGTGAAAAAAAAAAAAAACCTGCGATGCAGCGGCTCAGTAACCATACTGAACTACTGCCCCACTCGTTAGCTAAGTATTTATTACAGAGAGAATATTGATGACGTGGCACAGCAACTTTGTAGTTAGTTTAAAAAATACCAAACCACAAACAGGATAGCTAAAGTAAGCTAAGTCAGTTTGTGTTTGATACGAGGCAGACRTTAAATCACATCACACATTAAATACGACGCAGTCTGCTTCAGTCCAGCTAAGTTCTGCTCCACGCCTCTTTTGGTTCATTTCTGAATGTGCACATGTGAATGGGACCTGGCCGGCTTCACCTGTGTGAATATGACCTGAGGGAGCTTAAAGACAGACTGGCCATTTGTGAACGAGGCTATTATAACTCTAATATCCCCCCTTTCTCTGAGGTGTGTCTCAAAGCAGTTTGTTTTGATGCTGTATTTTGAAATCCAAACCAGGCGCTTCACTACAACGGGGTAATAAGGCCACACGAGATTTTTTTTTAATTACGAGCATAAGTCATATTATGCCATTAAAGTCGTATAAAATAAAGTCATAATATGAGGATAAAAGTCGTAATATTACGAGTTTAAAGTCGCAATATTACAAGTTTAAAGTCATAATATTACGAGATTAAAGTCATAATATTGTAGCCTTTACATGAAAAAGCATGCAGTTACCACACCATTAAAATGAGGAATGTTGAGCAACTTGTCAAGTTGTTCTTTAGTATTGCTATAAATAAATAATCTTTTCGCACATTAGCATCAAATTATCAGCAGCAGGACTTGGAAATTGTGCAAATGACTATAAACTGAAGCCATATTGTAATTAATGGATGCATTGACAGATTTAGTCATTACGTAGCTAATTTGGATGAAAGCAAATAAATCTAACAGTGACCCGAGTCATCATGGACTACTTTATAAACACAGACACATGGGGAATATATGGAAGAAATGAGGAATGGGAAATGGACATGTTATGATTATGACTTTTCTTGTAAAATTATGACTTTAATCTTGTAATAGTACGACTTTAATCTCATAATATTATGACTTTATTCTCATAAAATTACGACTTTAATCTCA